GTTTCCAGTCCAGAGAGCGCCGCCGCGTCGGCTGATCGTCGGCAGACCCGGGCCATGCGACCCCTGCTGCTCCTGGCCCCGCTGGGCTGGCTGCTCCTGGCGGACGCGAAAGGCGACGCCAAGCCGGAGGGTGAGCGCGCGGCGGGGCGGGAGGCTCGCGGGGTCCGGTCCCGGGCGGCCTCGCTGAAGATCTGTGGGTCCCGGAGGCCTGGGCTGGGGCTGAGGGGTGCTGGGTTCCGGCCACTGGTCCTCCTACTCCTGGCGACTCGTTGAAATCACTTCCCCTCTTGGGGCTGCGGTTCCCACATTCGTGCAGCAAGAGAGAGTGAGTGACATGGAAGTCCCGTTCAGCGCGGGAGGGACTCATAATAGAGCGCTGCGGGTGTTAAGGGTCAGCGCTGGCTTTGGCCACTCTCTGTGGACTGCTTTCAGCGACCAGAGGTCAGCTAAGTGCCATCGCTACTCTGGAAGCGGTTGCCTTCCCTTATTCCCGCTTTCCAGCCTGGCCACCTGAGGTGAGAGTTGATTCACTCTCCGGGGTTGCGGGGAGCCTGAGCCTTGGAACAGGATTCCCCCACCCGCGGTGTGTCTGGTTCCCTCTCTACTGGGCCTCACCGCTGCAGGGGCGCAGGGCCTTGGGATATGGTGGGGAGGAAAGGATGCAGAGTAGTGGGAGCTTTCACTCTGCCTCTGCGAAGCCCCTGCCACAAGGGTCTTCTCTCCAGTTCACATGTGGGGAGACTGCCCCTCAGACAGGAAGCAGCTGCCCAGGGTGGTCTGGCTGTGAAGTCACTGGCCTCGGGGGCTGGGGATTTAGCTCAGCGGCACAGCGCCTGCTTGGCAAAAACACAAGGTCGTGAGTTCAATTCCTGGTACCGGAAAAAGCCCCCCCTCCCCCCGACAAAAAAGTCTCCGTTCTGCAGGACTCCCAGTCTTGTGCTCCTTGTACTTCTCCAAGGCGGAGTGGGTGTCTGAGTGAGGCTTCTCTCCTCCCAGCCCCTTCCTGGCCTGGACCAGCTCCAGGGCTGCCCACCGGCACCCAAGGGCCCAGGGAGGTGGAGGGAGATGACCGCCCTGGCAAAGCTATTCCAAGCTGGCCGTACTTTCCACGGCACCCCGCTCCACTCGACCCACCATTCTGGAGAGCCTGGCAGCCGGGGCGTTGGGTTGGGCTGGGGAAGAGATGGAAATCACTGTGTCTGGGTTACCTCCTTGGTTGCGCCCGAGGCCTCATCTTCCCGATGGCGGACCCATTGTGCTTAATAACTCCACTAGGGTTAGAGTGAGTCCCAGCCTGCACACTGGGGCCATCACAGCTCAGTCCTAGAGTGCTAGAGGATGCCAAGACCGTGAGAGCGCGGCTCACTGCCTGGGCCATTCACGAGCCTCTCCGAGCGCATTTCCTCCCCTCATGGAGTCCCCAGCCTGGCACTAAGGTGGGTCAGAGAAGGGAGTGTGGAAGATGCTGAGCACGGGGCTGCTGGCAGCCTGTGCAAAGGGCCTGCACCGGCCTGGTCCGCTTCCTGGCCAGCAGCCAGCAGCCCTATAATAGCCTCTGTTTTTTTCTGGGCCTCGCTTTCCCCGCTTCTGCTGATGGGCCCCCTCCACCCAGACCATACCAGGAGAGAAACTGCAGCTGCCCACGATGAAGCCCAGAGAGGTGAGTGCAAGGTGGGACAGTATGCCGCTGAGGCTTCCTACTTCCTGATCCCAGCGGGGGACAGGAGGAGGAGGGCAGAATGGATACGAGCCAACCCTCGCCGCCAACCCTCGCCGCCAACCCTCGCCGCCGCCGAGGCCTTCCTGTTTCGGGAGGGCAGGATCCAGGATGTGGCTGAGGTCACTGGGGTACCTGGTGGCCAGCAGGAGGACGTGCAGGACGTAGGGTGCCGACAGGAGGCCGCTTCGCTTCCCTTGCCCTATGTAGACTTTTTTTCCCATGCTGTGGATCAAACCCAGGGCCTGATATTGGGAGCGCAGTGGGAGGGGACTTCGCACCTTCCCTCCTTAGTGAGTAGCCTGGTGTGTGGCCTGAGCCGGAGCCTTTCTGGGCTGGGCTAGTGCTGCTGGGGAAGAGGGGCATCCAGGGGGCCTAGTCGGTCAGGGCTGGTGGCTCCATCATCTCCTGAGGACCCCAGAGGTTCTGTGCTGGAGGCTTCCTCCTGGGCAGCCTGCCTGCGCTTTGCCGACCTCTCTCATTGAATCCTCATGTCCTTGGAGGAAGACGCTGTTATTATCCACTTGGGTCTCTTAATATAGATGAGGAAACTGAGGCACAGGGAGGTGAAGACAGGGGTCTCCGCTATGTAGCACAGGCTGGGCTTAAACTTGCAATCCTCCTGCTTCAGCCTCCTGAGTGATGAGATTACAGGTGTGCAACATCACACTGGGCCCAACCGTCTTTCCTTACCACCCCGCTCTGCACTTTCGCATTTATCTCCACTGGCCCAGTCACAGCTGGGTTGGTGTGCCAGGGTGGGCAGCAGATGAGGGGGGCTGAGTTCTCTGGTGCCAGGCTCCACGTGGGCTTGTCCTGAACCCAGAGCAGTGGCCGAGTAAACAGAGAGCAGGCCCTGGTGCTGAATGCTCACATTGCGCGTTGCCCAGAGCTGTGGCTGGATGGGAGGTGGATCAGAAAAGCCTTCCCCGAGCGCCTACCTAGGGTGCTCACCTTGGGAAGCCCGAGAGAGGTCTGCAGCCGCTGGTCAGTGGCACTCTGGTATGTCAGGCTCTCAGGCAGAAAGACAGTGAGGTTCAGGGCCTGCGTGATGGGAATGCCCCCTGCTCTTTCCCCTCTCACTCCATGGTCTTGACAAGGGGTACACAAGGATACCTGCAGCCAGGTGTAGTGGCACACGCCTATGATCCCAGCACTTGGGAGGCTGAGGCAGGAGGACTGCATGAGTTCCAGGCCAGCCTGGGCTACATAGTCAATTCAAAGCCAGCCAGAACTACATGCCAAGAGCCTGTCTTAAAAAAACAAAAAGCCCCAACAATATAAAAAAAAAAAAAAATCACCTCCCATGTAGAGGGTAAATGTAAACATCACCATCACTTAAAATCAGCTTCCTGCCTTGCTCCTTGAGGTCAGACAGACCATACTGGGCCCTAGTCACCCTGGGTCCCAGCCAGGGAGGTGGGGCGGGGGAGATAGATGAGGCGCTGGTGCGGCAAAGGGAGAAGGAAGAGGTTTGCACCGGTGCCTCAACTGTTGACCAGCCAAGGGACCGGCCACAGAGATGAGAGAAAGGAGGGCTTCCTGGCGGAGGTGGACTGAGGGTCTCCCTAGGGAAGGAGGAGGCATTGCAGAGGGGCCAAGGCTGTGGGGACAGCTGAGTGACAGGGTGATTTTCTGGAAGTGTTAAGGGTTGGTGTCAGGTCCCCTGGAGAGGGTGTGCTTTGAGCTCTTGCTGGAATCGCCTCCCCACCCCTGCATCTGAGCCAGCGTCACAGGAGCCGGGGGTGGCTTGCCTAGTGTTCCCAAATGTGGTCTGCTACAGAGCTGGTGCACCTGGGGCCCCAGGGCCTGGGAATCTGGATGTCAAACCTCCCGTGTGATGCTGCTGTGTGGCTGATAGGGAAGAATCATAGGATCCTTAGCCAGGCCCGTGACCACTGCGCGGCCTGGGGGACTGGGATTTGTTAGGGCCCCAGGGTGGCGCTTTGTAGCACACAGGGAAACGGGGACGGGGCAGGCTGAGGAGGAGGATGTCGGGCGTGTAGGCAGGGCCTGGCGTGGCTGGGGAACTTCCCTACACCCAGCCAGACGGTTTCCTTGGACAGAGACAGTGCCCTGCTACAGATGGCCGGGGCCGTGCCAAACCCAGACAGTGCCCACAGTCAGGTTAGGAGGCCACTCGGGAGCTGGGCTGCTCGTGTCCACTCCCTGGTGCTGCCGCTTCCTGGCTCCCTGGGGCAACTTACACGCCACCCCTGAGCCTAATGCGGAGTGGGGTCCGTGTCTACATTGCTTAGGACGGCGTGCGGCCCACACAGTGAAAGGTTCGCCGCTGTTACTTAGTTAAAAGCAGGAGCCTGAGACACATCATGGCTCCCTGTCCCCCTCCCCTGCTGCCCAGTTGGGAGCCTGTTCCTGGCGAGAATCCAGAATATTCCTCCCTCTCTCTCTCTCTCTCTCTCTCTCTCTCTCTCTCTCTCTCACACACACACACACACACACACACACACTGGCTTTTTCCACCCATGAAATGTGACACTCTTCCGGTCCCCAGCAGCCTCTTTGGGCCTCAGAGCTGGTCGCTGTGCTTCTTACCTGGGGAACACTTAACCATCAAAGCAGGAGTTAGGGGGGCCCTTCCCACTGTGAGCAGCCCCCCTCTGCCCTGTGGCTAAGGTGGCGGGACCCCTACTCTCTGCACCTGTCTGAAGCACCCACCCCTCCTGCTTCGGCCCCACCCACCCCAACTGGTTCCTGCCAGTCGCTGCCAGCCGTCTGGCACCCGCCAGCCCCCAGCCCTGGGGCCGGCAGCCTGCACCTCAGCATCTGCCAGCCCTGGCCAGCCGGTCCCCTTTGTCTTTCTGGTGCGACTCCAGACTTCCTGTGGTGGAGGGAGGGGCCCTACCCGCCTGCTTTTGGCCTGGCTGCTGAGGGACAGGGATTCACGCGGAGAAACCATAATGAGTGCCCCAAAGCGGGTCCTGCCTGCCCGGCTGGAGAAGGCAGACATCTGAGCAGGCTTGAGAGGTGGTGGAGGAGTGTCATTGTCCTGGGAGCTGCAAGACTATTAGAGAAAGGGGACGCAGAAGGAGCCCAGGGCATAGCCCCTGGCTAGAGGAGGGATTACAGAGTCTGCCAGCTGGAGGCCTTGAGTGCCAGGCAAGGCATTCTCCTCTCACCAGTCAGTACCAGCGGCGGCTCTCAGCATGTGCTGGGCTTTCCAGTCAGCGCAGTATATGCTGGGCTCGCGTAACCAGCCCAGCAGGCGGTTGGTGCTGTTACAATTTCTACTTTCCAAGGGGGAAACTGAGTCATAGAGCGCTGCGCTCTCAGGAATTGTCCAGCAAGCGCCATTGCAGAGGTGAAGGTCAGGGTGAAGGTCAGGAGGGGAGCAGTGGAGAGACCTCAAGCCAGTTTCCCTTGGCACTGGGAGAGTCTTGGGCTGGTGCAGTTCGGTTAGGGGGACTGCAGGGTGTATTGGGCATGTCTGCCCTGGGCACAGGTGCAGAGGGTACTGGCCTCCGGGCTTTGTATTTGCTGCCCCTACACTGTGTCCAGCACTGACCAGAGAGAGCCTTGAGGGGCGCTCAGAGCCATTCTTTACTGGGCCCCATTTGAGGCCTGAGCCCAAAGCCGGGACCTCGGTCCCACAGGGCCGGTACGGTCACCTCTCCTGTGGCTGCTGCTTGACACGTGGGCTAATGGCCAGGTGGAAGGCGCCCCACAGGGGATCCAGGAGACCCGGCTCTGTCCCAGCTCTGCCGTGAACGCGCTGAAGAATCTTCCAGCCAGGCTGGGCCCCATCTGCAATGGGCCGGCATGAAGACACTTCCTGCCGGGATTTGACAGGTTACTTGGGGCAGTGACCACCGCTGCCCACCTTCTTGGCATTGAGTCCCACTCACCTCGTCCCCCTCTGCCTGCAGACAACCTTTTGGTCCTCACCGTGGCCACGAAGGAGACTGAGGGCTTCCGCCGCTTCAAGCGCTCAGCACAGTTTTTCAACTACAAGGTCCAGGTGAGGGCTTCTGGGGGAGGAGGAGCCTACGGCGCTGGTGTCCCCCTTCTTATGCCGCCAGGGGCCCCAAGACAGACTTGGGGCTCCAGGGTGGTTTGGGGAACCCTGAAGGATAAGCGTGAGAGAGGACAAGCAAGGGTAGGGCGTGAGGCTGTTCTGGGAGGTGACCGAGAGGATCATGGGCTCCGCCGTGTCCTCTGCATGCACCTTTGTGGGTGTGATGTTGGGCCCTGGGGATGGAGTTGTGGACAAGACCGACAGTGTCTGTCTACACAACTTGCCAGAAGCCTGGAAGAAGGCAGTATAGTTTATGCAAATGAGGGCTGCTTCAGGCGAAGCTGGATCCAGGGTTGCCCAGAGCAACATACTGGGATGTGGCTTGGGGGGGAGGACACTGTGATTGGCCAGGCATGGTCACTGGGAACCGGGTCCGACTCACACCTGCAGAGCGGTTTCCCTGCAGCAGGTTGCAGAGGTACCAGCCAAGTAGTGTGCCCACTGCCCAGCAGGCAGGTGACAGTTGGCTGGAAGGTACTTTCCCGCTGCGGCTGGTGTTAAGTGGCCGTCCTGTGCAGGCGCTGGGCCTGGGGGAGGACTGGGACGTGGAGAGGGGGACGACGGCGGGTGGAGGACAGAAGGTCCGGCTGCTGAAGAAGGCGCTGGAGAAGCACGCAGACAAGGAGGACCTGGTCATCCTCTTCACAGACAGGTGGGTGGCCCTGAGCGGGGCCTGTGGGCGTCAGGATAGGGAGGGTCACTCGAGCTAAGGTTGTCTGATGTTGAGGGATCCGTGAACCCCTGAATAAGACAAGACCATCCAGTGTAGCCCACTCCACTCCACTCTTGGGGCAAAGACGAGAGGGGGTGACACGCGGGCTGCGCAGAGCCGAGCCGCGTGTGCCAAGGACCAGGTTACAGGCAACATCGCGGCCCAGGGGCGGAGGCTTAGCAGGCTGCCCTGGAGACCCTGGGCAGATCCTTTTCCCAGATGGTGGCCCAGATGTCGTGGGCGGAGGGGGCTGTGGGGCGCCTCCATCCGTGTTCCCTCCTGCTGGGGGCCTGCTGTGCCCCTGTCGCGGGGCCCCGAGGTACCTCTCCCCGCTCTGGCCGCAGCTATGACGTGGTGTTCGCCTCGGGGCCCCGGGAGCTCTTGAAGAAGTTCCGGCAGGCGAGGAGCCGCGTAGTCTTCTCGGCGGAGGACCTCATCTACCCTGACCGCAGGCTGGAGGCCAAGTACCCAGCAGTCTCCGACGGCAAGAGGTTCCTGGGCTCTGGAGGTGAGAGGCTCCCCCGGGCATGGGGCCTGGCGCCCCCTTCGGGAGGGTCCCCCTTTCCTGACAGTCAGGTGTATCTCAGGGCGTCACGCAGAGCTCCTTGGACTGAGCTCCAGAGTTTTCAGCCTCAAGCGTACTCCCCTTTGGATGAGTCATTCATCCTCATCCCATTCAGCAGCCTCCCAGACACAGACAAAACACGGGGTCACCCACCCGCCCTTGGCCTCTCTCACCTCCTGTCCGTCATGAGTCATGTGACCCTGCCTTCCTAAAGAGCTCTCCAGTCTGCCCTTGAAGGCCTACACTCACCACCTCACCCAGCTCTTAACCTTTGTAGACTTCTAATTGCTTTGCCAGGCTCCACCCTCTTCCCATTAGGATCTGTCCTCCACCCAGCAGCCAGGGGAGTCTTTAAAAGGGCGCAGATTACTGGATGTGGTGGGCATGTCTATAATCCCAATACCAGGGAGGCTGAGGCAGGAGGATTGCAAGTTTAAGGCCAGCCTGGGCTACACAGCAACTTCAAGGCTGGCTTGGACTACAGTGTCTCAAAAACAAAAACAAACAAAAGGATGCAACTCTACACTCATGGCTCAGTGAGTTCCCACTGCTCGAAGAGGAAGGGAGATCTGTCCGGCAGCCACTGTCTCCCTGGCTCAGAGTGACCACAGTCCAGATGGTCTGGCCTTGGCCTTGGCCTGGGCTCAAGATGTGCTGTTTCTCCTCCCTTTGCCTCTTGCGGTCTGCACTGGCCAGGAAGCCTGTGGGCTTTTCCACCTCCCGGGGGTCAGGCCCAGAGTGTGCTTGGCCGGCCTCTCCTGTTCTCTGGGCCGTGTTTCCCAGATCACTGAATAAAAGGGGCACCAAGCCTGGACCTCGCCCTCTCCACTCCCCAGGGCCCCCTGGTCCAGTCTCTGGACCAAGCAGGTACAGTTTAGAGTGTGCCTTTGATCCTGGGAATCCTCCAGCCGGAGATGTTAACTGGCTTGCATCCCACATTCCCTCAATCTAGGAAGACTTCTGGGAGGAGGCAGGCTTTGTGGGTGAAGGCGTGGGAGGTGAATGGGAGGGAGGGGACCCCTGACTCAGAGACCGGAAGCTAAGTGTCTGTCTTGGCGTCATCCCTGGCACCTCTCTGCAGGCTTCATTGGCTATGCCCCCAACCTCAGCAAGCTGGTGGCCGAGTGGCAGGGCCAGGACAGCGACAGCGACCAGCTCTTTTACACCAAGATCTTCTTGGACCCAGAGAAGCGGGTAAGAGGAGGCGGGTGGGCCGAGAGACAGGGGGTTGGGGGGTCCTGACTCTGGATCCCGCTGGCCAGGCTGCACCGGGGACAGTCCCCTGGCTTGTGTTGGTCTGTTGACATACTGTACACAGGCTATGAAAAACCAACTCCCAGTCCTGGAGGCTGCGAGTGTGAGGTCGGATTCATCGGGTCTCAGCCAGAGCGATTGGGTTCTTGGAATAAAAGCAGTAGTGAGGTTGCTTTCTCGTAGGGGTGCTGCGAGGGTCACAGGAACATACAGCGGCGGCTGGCATGCAGGAGAATGCTAATCAAGTGTTTGTAAAGTTACCATTGTGGTCGTCATTGTGGTGGTTGGTGTGGTTGAACCAGCTGCTAGATTCCTTCCAGATCTGGGGTTTCCTGGCTCTCTGAGCAGAGCCACTAGACCAGGGAACCCCGGGGGTTTGCTGCCCTGCTGTGACAAGCTGAGCGAGCGTGGGCACAGGCCCTCCGCACTGCTGTGTGGGGAGCCCCGTCCGCCGAGACCCGTCCTCACACGCTGCAGCCCCGTGCCGTCGTCTCCACAGGAGCAGATTAATATCTCCCTGGACCACCGCTGCCGCATCTTCCAGAACCTGGACGGAGCCTTGGGTGAGCGGTGCCCCCGAGGAGAGGAGGGATGGGAGCTGGGTTGTGGGGTGGGGAGGACCAGGCCTCTCTTGGGCAGCAGGGAAAGGGGACAGCTTGGGGTGGGGGGATGCACGGAGCAGGTACTGGGCCCTTGCTCTGCAGGCTGTCCTTATTGATGGGCCCCCGCTCTACAGATGGGGCCCTCTCCTTACAGAAGGGGCCCTCCCCTCCTCCAGGGGAGGTTTCCTGGGCTGGGGCAGGGGCAGGGCCTGAGTTGGCAGGGAGTTGATGGGAAGAAGAGTGGCTGGTGCTTGGTGTTGCTGGCCCTTCAAGCCTTAGGCGGGGCCTTATGTCTGTGGCTGGTGATCATGGTGCTTGGCTGTAGATCTTGCTGGGTGACCTCAAACACACACACACACACACACACACACACACACACACACACACACGCTGGGAATCCTACCAGACCAGAGTCCTTCGGATGAAAACTAGTGGTCCTCTCCCAGTAAAGAACCATTGCACCTTCTCCCCGTGGTTTCCGGGGGGCTCATGAACTTGGGCAGAGAAGTAGTGTCCAGGTCCCTACCCGGGCATTTCCGGACCTTACAGGGTCCATCCTTGTGGTCACCCACCACAAAAGGCCTCCGTCCCCAGCGTCCTCTCAGGAAGCCCCTGTGTGTCTACTGCGGTTGGCAGCTTCCTGTCTGTTCTGTGCAGACTCCGAGGGTCAGAGCAGGGGTGTGGGGACCCTGCTGTGGGGCCCTCTATGCCAGGCGTCTTGGTGCTACTGTGCATGCTGGAAGCTGGGATGGCCTGCATCTTTGGTCCCCTCCCACCACCACCTCTGGCTCCAACATATGCATTTGGCTTGGTGGGGATGAAGAAGGGATTGTGCCCATTTTATGGATGGTGAAACTGAGGCCAGGGAGGGGAAGCGCCTTGCCCAAAAGTGTGCCCTGCCCCCACCTGCCAGCCCCCAGGCCTGACCACTGGGCAGATGTGGACAGGCTGTGCTTTCTGACCCCCAGACGAGGTTGTGCTCAAGTTTGAAATGGGCCACGTGAGAGCTAGGAACCTGGCCTACGACACTCTTCCGGTCCTGATCCATGGCAATGGGCCCACCAAGGTAGGAGGCCCTGCCGTGGGGAGAGCTGGGTAGGAGGCAGAGCTCAGCTCAGCCCTCACGGTCATCCTTCCCTGTGAGTCCCGTCTTCTCTCCCTCCCTGCTGTGTGCGCGGGGGCCTCATCCCTCCCTCCTGGGCAGCAGGATGCAGAAGAGATTGCTGTCCCCCTCGGTGCCTAGGCTGGGCTGCCAGAGCCATCTGCACACCCTCATCCCAGGGCCCTGTGTCAGGGTAGGGACCCAGGAACCTGCATTTTACAAGTGCCCGGGAGATCCAAAGAGGAAGAAGCGCTGCAGTGCCGCCTCTTCCCTCCGGCCTCCTCAGGGCAGCGCGCTGCTCTCCCCACGACTACTCAGGGTGGGAGAGAGCTGGACGCACCGCACCCTGGGCGCGGGGAGGTAGGGCTTGGGGACAGGGCGGCTGGCCTGGCTCTCCTCCAGCTCCGTCCGCGTCTCCTGACAGCTGCAGCTGAACTACCTGGGCAACTACATCCCGCGCTTCTGGACCTTCGAGACGGGCTGCACCGTGTGTGACGAAGGCCTGCGCAGCCTCAAGAGCATGGCGGTGAGGCTGCCGGCCAGGCCTGTGCGGGGGGCGGGGGCGGGGGCGGGGCGCTCCCCATCGGGGGATGCCTGGAATAGACGCCTGCTGTCTGAGCTTCTGTTCCTTCGCCACCTCCTGCCCTCTCCTGGCAGCCTTCTCGGACCACACAGCCGCTGGCTTCCCTCCAGATGCCTGCGTTCCGCCTTCTCCTCCTGTTGCTCCTCAGTCCACGAGGCTCTGTCCTCTGCGTGCTGTCCACCAGGCCTGGCTCTGAGCCTGGCTCGTCCCTGCCCCTGCTGCTGAGCGCTCCCAGGCCCAGGCTCCTGTCCACCAGAGCACATGTTTTTTGTTTGTTAGTTTCTTTTGAGACGGGGTCTCCTGTGTAGTACAGCATGGCTTCGAACCTGCCATCCTCCTGCCTCAGCCTCCCAAGTGCAGGAGTTGCCATTGTTGGCTGTGGCACATACTTTTGCTTGTGGCTCTGCTCCCCCGAGCACGCTAAGGCTGGGCGACAGTGCACAGCTGGACACTGCTGGACTCTTGTGGCTCCTCCCCCATGCAGGATGAAGCTCTGCCCACGGTCCTGGTCGGCGTGTTCATAGAGCAGCCCACGCCATTCCTGTCCCTGTTCTTCCAGCGGCTCCTGCGCCTCCACTATCCCCGGAGTAAGATGCGGCTTTTCATTCACAACCACGTGAGTGCTGGACACTCTTTGTGTCCTCTGGTGGCCTGCGGCAGGACCAGCTTCCTGAGGTGGCCTGAGGCCTCTAAGGATCTGACTCATCCAGTCTTGTCTGGGCCCAGTGGGCGTGGGCGGTGGGCCATGACCCCAAAGGACAAGATTGGCTCTGGAGTCAGACTGGCTGGGCTTGAATCCCAGTGGCACCACTTTTATTGACTGTGTGACCTTGGATACACTCCCCTACCTCGCTGTGCTTCTGTTTTCTGAGATAATGATGGGTGCAGTAGTGGGAAGCTGAGGCAGGGGGACTTCGAGTTAGTCTGGGCACCCGGTGAAAACCAGAGTCCAGAGATGAAAGGGGCAGAAGATGTAGCTCAGTCACAGAGCACCTGCTAGCATAGGTGAGGCCCTGGGTTGCATTCCCCGTCCTGCCCTGCTCAAAAAAAAATTGGGTAGAGGATAATAGTGGCAGCCACATAGAACTGCTGCAAGAGTTGACCAGGTTGGTCAGTGGCATGCATAGAAGAGCTCCTGGTGGCCAGTCAGGCTGATGCGGGGTTTGGTTTGGTTTTCCTTCAGTACTTTTTGGGGAATCAGGGAAAGTCCCGAGGCCGCTGCTTTGTGGGGAGCGGCCTAGATCAGCCCTCCCGCTCCTCCTTCCAGCCATATCGCCTCCCTCTCGGCCCCTCTCTACTGTTTGTTCAGCTGCGATGCCAGCGCACTCTTCAGAGCCTACCTGTGTGCAAAGCTCTGTCTTCCTGAAAGTCTTTCAGCTGCCCTGTCTGTAGCTGCCCCCTACAACCTTTTGTTTTTTCAGCACTGAGGATTGAACCCAGGCCTTTTCATTGAGCTAGGTGCCCAGCCCTTTTCTTATTTTTTATTTTGAGACAGGATCTCTCTAAGTCACTAAGTTGCCCAGGCTGGCCTCACACTTGCAATCCTCCTGCCTCAGCCTCCTAGAGTGCTGGGATGATGGGCATGTGCCACCACACCCAGCTCTTTTTTCTGAGACAGTGTGCCCCTCACCCCAGGGACACCTCAGCTCCCTACCTAGGTCACCAACACTCATTCCACCTGTGCATTGTGCTAACTAGAGCTGGGTGTGGTGGCATATGCCTATAATCCCCGCCCCCGGGAGGCTGAGGCAGGAGGATTGTTGCGAGTTCAAGGCCAGCCTGAACTACATAGCGAGACACTGTCTCAAAAAGACCAAAAAAAAACAGGACGTAGGCCCTCCCTGCAGACAGCAAGCCATGCAGCCACGAATAGGGACTTTGTGTAGAAAGAGAAATGTCACAGGCGGCCTCTGAGGACTGCAGCTGACTCGATGTCTGCTTGCTGTGAGCCAGGGGGGAGGTGTGGCTGTCCTCTCATTTTACAAGGGAGAGAACAGAAGTGGAGACAGGTGAAGGGGCCAGTCCAGGGTCACAAGCTCCTCCTAGCCAAGGTCAGTCTGAACCCTGAGTTTGGGTCTAGAGGCCCTGGTCTGCCCACACCCCCACACTGGGGGCCTCAAGTGGGGGCTCTTGGTCACCAAATCGAAGTCAAGGGTCACGTGGTACCAGGGGTGGGCCCTCCGGGCAGAAGTCTGGACAGGCATGCAGATGGCCAGGGATGTGGCAGAGATGGAAGGAGCCGCCCAGCAGTGCCAGAGGGTGCTGGGGTGCCAGGGTGGGCCCTGTTCCCTGGTCCTCACCCTGCCACCGCCCCCAGGAGCAGCACCACAAGGCACAGGTGGAGCAGTTCCTGGCCGAGCATGGCAGCCAGTACGAGTCGGTGAAGCTGGCGGGCCCCGAGGTGCGGATGGCGAACGCCAATGCCAGGAACACAGGCGCGTGAGTTGTGGGCTGGGTCCTCCTCGTTGCCAGTGGCGGGGGCGGATGGGCTGTGACGGCGGCAGCAGCAGGCTGGGCTGCAGGAGGTCATAGGCCCCTCTCTGGGCCCCAGGGCCCCCAGCTGTCAGGTGAGGATGTGGTCTCTGCCCTGCCTGCCTCTAGTCCTAGGCAGGCTGAGCAGCATCTTTTGGGTTCAGGAAGCAAATTCAAGAATGGAACGGCCAGAGGCCTAGACATAGACAGACTGAGTTTTTCTGTTATTATTATTATCATCATCACCGGTATTATTATCATTATTATTTATTACTATTTGGTTTTGTGAAACAGGGTCTCACTATGTAGTTTAGGCCAGCCCTGAACTTGCTGCCTGGAACTCATGGTGATCCTCCTGCTTCAGCTTCTGCATGTGCCGCCATGCCTGGCGTGTTTTACTTTTAATAGAAGAACAAATTAGCCGGGTGTGGTGGTGCACGTCTATAATCCCAGCACTCAGGAGGCTGAGGCAGGAGGATCAAAGTAAGTTCAAGGCCAGCCTGGGGTACATAGTGAGTTCAAGGCCAGTCTGGGTACATAGCAAGAACAAAACACCAAAAAAAAGGTAATGACACAAATAATTTGCGTTGACTGTGGAAGAATTAGCTGAGATCAGAGGCTGGGCAACTTCCTATGAAGGACTAGGGGTAACATGACATAGGAATGGGCTTCTCGGACTCTGCCCTTGTGACCCAGAAGTGGCGTCAGAGCACGTAATGCATGAGTGTGGCTGTGCTCCAGCAAGGTTGTATTTATAGACAATGACATTTGACATCCTTATAATTTTCATATATTCTTTGGATTTTCCCCCCCAGTCATTCAAAAAGAGAAAACTATTCTTAGCCCATGAGTAGTTACAAAATCAGGGGCTGGACCTGATGACATGAGTTCGAGGCCAGCCTAGGCTACATAGCCAGACTCTGTCTCCAAAAACCAAAAGCCAAAACCAAAAACAAACAAGAAACAGGTAGTGGGAAGATTTGGGTCAGGGACCATCGTTTGCTAAGCGCTGGGCCAAGTGAATAAAAAGGACACACTTCCGTTATGGTGGTTGTGGTGGTGCTGGGGATAGAACCCAGGGTCTTGCGCATACTAAGCAAGGGCTTCACCGCTGAGCTATACCACACCCCCCCCTTTTTTTTTTTCAGCCTGTGGATTGAACCCAGGGCTTTTGAACTGAGCAATATCTGCAACCCTTTTATTTGTATTTTTTTTGAGATAGTCTTACTAAATTGGGCTCAAACTTAGGATCCTCCTGCCTCAGCCTCCCAGAGTGCTGGGACTTACAGGCATGCACCACCATGCCTGGCCCAAACCTCATTTTTAAGGCTTTTGGTATATATTACCAAATTGTCCTCCAGGCAGGCACGAGCTCCCCCACCCTGGAGTGTCAGGCCTGTCTGAAGAGCTGTGCTTCCCCGGGACTATCACAAGCCCCGGCCTTCGCCCTGAGAGCACAGTAGTGCAGGTGTGGGTCTCAGCTTTGGGAGGGACCTTGCAAGTGGCTGGTCCCGTCGCTGCAGCCCCGGATAGTCGGCCTCTCCCCTTCCTCCTTGCAGAGACCTTTGCCGGCAGGACCACTCCTGCACCTACTACTTCAGCGTGGACGCCGACGTGGCCCTGACTGAGCCTGACAGCCTGAGGCTGTTGATCGAGCAGAACAAGTGAGCCGTGGGAGGCTGTGGACCTGGCACCGCTGGGCACTGGCCAGGGCAGGGAGCCCCTTGCCCCTCTCCTCCTCCGTGGCCTGGGTTGTGGGTCCCCAGCCTGGTAGAGGGTGGCACCTCCCCCCATCTGTCACTGTCTGCCCCATGGGAGGGAGGAACCAGCACCTCGCCAGGCCGTGATCCTGCCCCAGCAAAGTGTGTAGAATCCCCCGCCCCATGCAGGGCATAGGGGCCCCTTCTGGTCCCCGTCCCCGGTCAGGTCTGCCTCCTGTTCCCACTGAAGCACCCCTTCCTCAGGAACGTCATTGCCCCGCTCATGACGCGCCACGGGAGGCTGTGGTCAAACTTCTGGGGGGCGCTGAGTGCCGACGGCTACTACGCTCGCTCCGAGGACTACGTGGACATCGTGCAAGGGCGCCGTGTGTGAGTACCCGCATGGCACGCCACTTCCAACTCCTTCGGCCCAGGCACGCCTGTCCCAGCTGCCCTCAAATTGCAAGTGTGCTGGGTGTGCTAAGAGTCACGCCTGTAATCTTAGCATTCAGTAGGCTGAGGCAGGACGATTGCTGTGGCTTGGAGGCCAGCCTGAACTACAGCGTGAGTCCCTGTCTCAAAATCCAAAACAAAGCAGAAAAATTGCTGTAGAACCTCAAGCAGTCAGACACGCAGAAGGACTTCCTGGCATTGTCCTGGGCTCGTGCGCCCGGAGTAGGGGCTGTGGATCACTCTATCATGCTGTCTCAGCCTTGGCCCCCTCCCCTTTGGTCCTCGAGCCAGACTTTCAGCCTGTGACTCCTCCCTGCTCTCCATCGACCCCTTCCTCTTCCCTCCCCAGCGGCGTCTGGAACGTGCCGTACATCTCCAACGTCTACCTGATCAAGGGCAGCATCCTTCGGGCGGAGCTGCACCGCACAGACCTGTTCCACCACAGGAGGCTGGACCCTGACATGGCTTTCTGTGCCAACGTCCGGCAGCAGGTCAGAGGATGCGGGGAGGTGGACCACCCTGTCATCTTAGGCCTGGGACCTTCTTATTTTGTTTTTTTTGAGGCAGCGGCGGTCTAGCTATGTAGTTCAGGCTGGCCTTGAACTCACTGTGTAGCCCAGTCTGGCTTCAAAGTTGTGGCAGTCTTCCTGCCTCAGCCTCTCCAGTGCTGGGATCACAGGCATATGCCACCATGCCCAGCTCACAGTCCTTTTCTTTTATGTATTCATTCTTTAATTCCCTCCTGCCCTCCAAGAAGTCTTCTTGGTTAATCCCCAGGGTTGGGGCTGGGCCAGGTGCTGGGGACACAGGCAACGCATGCTTATTGGTTGCTAATCTCATGAACACATCCAGGCGGGTGCAGCAGCCTGACTCTGCCCCGGGGTGTGCAGGAGGACACGGTAGGGAGCCCCTCTCCCATCGGGCGTGTTCTCCCCAGGAGGTGTTCATGTTCCTGACCAATCGGCACAGCTTTGGCCACCTGTTGTCCCTGGACAGCTACCAGACCACCCACCTCCACAACGACCTCTGGGAGGTCTTCAGCAACCCCGAGGTGAGGCCCAGTGGGTGGGCAGGGAAGGAAGGGACTCCTGTGATCCTGGGCCCAGAGGCGCCTCCCTGGCCCTCAGAGCACCTGCCTCCCCCTTTCTACTCCTCTGGGACTCAGTAGCTGGCACAGGATTTGGGACAGCGCCATCTAATGGAGGAGTGGCCGGGTGTCAGAGGCCCTGGCTTGTGGCCCAGATCTGCCTGGAGGAGCCGGGACTTAGTTGAGCCTCTCAACTTTTGGGGCCTCTGTCATCTTTGCTCTAATGGTTGTACCCTCCCAGCCTGTCTTGCCCTGAGGGTGTCATGATGATCAGAGGGGACAGTTGTGACAGTGATTCTAGGTATCGGGAGCTTGTGGCTGACACGGGCATTTGTACGCACTGTACCTGCACACAGCTGCGTAGACACAGATGCACGCATGCGCACATGTGTGCAGGAGCCACCTCCCGTGGGCACACTTGGCCGACATGGGCGCGTAGCCACCTGCCCTGGGTGCACACGTCCACTGTCATCCCGAGGGGCTGCGGGAAGGAGACCCTCGGGGGAGCCTTCTGTGGGTGGACACGTGGCGAGCCCCACCGCTGTTGCTCCCTGCAGGACTGGAAGGAGAAGTACATCCACGAGAACTACACCAAGGCCCTGGCGGGGAAGCTGGTGGAGACGGTAAGGACGGCGGGGCCCAGGAACAAAACTGGGAGCTCACATCCCCTACCTGCTGCGGCGGGAGGGGGCGGTGGGGGACTGACAGTGCGGGCCCTGGGAGCACCCCCTTTCTGTCTGCCCTGGCAGTGCTGCAGCCAGAGGTGTGGGTGGCAGGATGACCCTCTCCCTCAGTTGGCACTTTCTGCCCGGAGCCTGCAGAGGGAAGTGTCCCCAGATGAGATCCCAGCTGTGGCCTGTGGTCCCCTGGGCCAGGAGTGAGAAACGGCACACACAGGGGCCCTGTGGCGGGTTCTGCATCCCAGGGCAGGTGTTGGGTCACCCTGGATCTTGAGCCTGAGTCCCCACTCTCCCCAGCCTTGCCCCGATGTCTACTGGTTTCCCATCTTCACGGAGACGGCCTGTGACGAGCTGGTGCAGGAGATGGAGCACTTTGGCCAGTGGTCTCTGGGTGATAACAAGGTAGGGCCATCCTGACACGGGTGTCCTCTTTGTGGGCTCTCCCCTGGCTGTGTGCCAGTCTCCCTGGGACGCTTGGCTGGATGCTGGCAGGGGTGCCCACAGGCAGTCACGAAGAGAAGGATTGAGAAATGAGATAGTGTTGGTCCTTACACAGCCACTGCCACGTTGTAGCTTTCAGCTGCCTTAGCCAAGTTGCTAGGTATTCGGTTCCGGGTTACTGTTAGCGTGGTCTGGCTTTCTGCCCCTGATCCTGTGCGTGGAATGGACACGTGACCTCAGGTCCAAGTTCAGCAGACACTGGATGTGGGGGGCTTGCTGCATTGAGAGGCTGTGTGTTACCAGAAGCAGGAAGCTCATCGTGGGAGGTGCAGGCTTCCTTTTTTTTTAACCCTCCTGATGCTGGGGACGGAACCCAGGGGCTTATTTGTGCTAGGCAAGGGCTCCACTGCCAGGCTACATCATTTATTCATTAGACCATTATTCATGGTCTTCCTGGCTTCACATTTCTCATCCTCCTGCCTCAGCCTCCTGAGTACCTGGGATTGCAGGTGTGTGCCACCAGGCCTGGCTTCTGGTTACCTGTGTAGTCCACTTGCTTTGGTGGCTGGGCCATCTCCAGAGCCTAGTCCCTGGGTTAGCTTGGGCATTCTGAGCTCTGGCTAACCCTGATGCTCCAGTGACTGGGCCAGCCACGGACCCCAGTGCCTGGGCTAATTGTGCCTTTCTGCTGTGTGACAAGTGACCATAAGCTTAGTGGCTTAACACAACACCTATTTATTTTCCAGTGCTGGAGACTGAACCCAGGGCTCTCAAACTGAGCTATCTTCCCAGTTTGTTGTTTTTTTTGAGACAGGGTCTTGCTAAGTTGCTCAGGCTGGGCTTGAACTTGCGATCTTCCTGCCTCAGCTTCCCAGAGTGCTGGGATTACAGGTCTGCGTTGTGAAGCCCAGCTACAACACCTATTTATATATCCCAGTTTCCGTGGGTCAGGGATCCAGGCATGGCTTGGCTGGGTCCTCTGATCCTCTCACAAAGCCATGTCACGGGGCAGCTGAGGTTGGTGTCCCATCTGAGGCTTGGGGTCCCTTTCTGAGCTCTTGTGGTTCCTGGCAGGATTCCTTTCCCTGCAGCGGGATACATAGGGCAGCTGGCCTCTTCTGTGCCCGTGTAACACGTGGTCTTTCTCTCCCAGACCCTTCTTTAACGTCTGTGGCGGGCTGCGTCCTGAGCCTAGGCTAACCTCCCTTGATTAATTTAAGGTCAGCTAACTGACAGGGGCCAGTTACATCTGCGCCTCTGCCCCAGGACCTCCCAGTGTCACGCAGTCCCATCCTATGCCCAGCTTGGGGTCCTACGAGGCAGAGCCCGTGTACCAGCGCAGGAGTCTGGGTGCAGTCTTAGCCCTCACTGTGCTCACTTCCAGGACAACCGCATCCAGGGTGGCTATGAAAATGTGCCGACCATCGACATCCACATGAACCAGATCAGCTTCGAGCGGGAGTGGCACAAGTTCTTGGTGGAGTACATCGCCCCCGTGACAGAGAAGCTGTACCCCGGCTACTACACCAGGGTGGGGTCCGGGGGTGCAGCCTGAACTGGGGCGGCGTGGGGTATCTGGGAGGGGTGGGGGCCCGGAAGCCAGCCCAGCTTTGGGGACACACTGGACACAGGGCTCCCAAGAAGAAGTGGGTTCTGCCCTCCATTGGGCAGGGTGTGGAGAGGCGGGACCTTGGGCTGCACTAGGCTCTCAGGAGGACGCTTCCTTTGTCCCTGACCTCACCCTTTTCTTCTAGTTTTTAAAAAACGCTTGAGTCCGTGTTTGCAGTATTCAATGATTACACTCATCGTGGGGAGTTGGACCACGTCCATAACACACCTTCATTCCTTTACTTCCCCTCCTCCCCTCCCCGCTCCGTCTCTTGGTCTCGTTCTCATTTCCATAGCTCTAGTTCACTGTTTCCTGATATCTTTCTCTTTTTTTTTTTTGAGACAGGGTCTCGCTGTGTAGCGCAGGCTGGCCTTGAACTTGCGGTGATCCTCCTACCTCAGCCTCCTGAGTGCTAGGATTACTGATATTTATCTTTTT